ATAGGTCTATTTCCCCATCATCATATGTAAATATATTTACATATGTACATGCCTGCATTTATACTTCTATAAATGCCCTTTGCCTCCTAGTTCTTTCCTCTATTTCCTTTTACTTTCCTCTAAAAGAGGTCTTTTACAGAAGATTTGTCCAGTGGGATGGATCATTTGATTTCCTGGCGGCTGCTTCCATGAGAGTTGATGGTGGATCCAAGGAAAATGAACATCTTTTTTTTTTGGAAATTCTTTATAGCTTCGATCTTTTCTCATTTATCATGATGTTGCTTCTTGGTTTCATTGTGAAATTTTGGTTTTCTTCCTGCCGAAGCATAACCCATCTCAAAGGTTATAGTCTTTGATCTTCCATAAGTGCTTCAAGTCCCTTGTGCATTCAGCAAGCGAAAAATCCCATAAAGTAGGTAATGGCAAATTGCTTAGCAACTTAGGCAATTGTGTTCCCATAACTTACAAAATGCATTTGGAGGTGTGGAGGAGGCCTTTTCTGTGGGGCTATCTTTGCCACCCGAGCTTCCCTTCCTCACAGTCCTTTTTTCGGCATCACAGGTTTTTATTTACCCATGTGGATTGCCAGCGCTGTTACTCACTCCTCACACCTAGAAGGAGATTGCAGGTGCTTCCTGTTCTGCGCTGGGGTGCATGGACCCCAGATGGGTTACCAGTGTCTTGAATGAAATGTTGTGAGTTGGGACTGAATAAATTATGAATTTTCACAGGAACGGGCAGTGAGAAGGCTTAAATGGTTGTGATCACTCATCCATTTTCTAGGCTCCTCGTTAAGTCCCCCAGACTGTTTTTAAGGCAGTCACTGAGAGTGCATCCTTATTTTAGGTTTAGTAAGAATCTTGCTCTTAGCATTCCTATCATCAGTATTAGTGGAAGTTCCCTAAAGCCCAGGCTGGAGTTAGACGAAGGGACTCTTGAGAAGTATGTTTGACTGTCTTTGGGGTGGGATCATATGCTGGAGAGTGAGTGAATGCTGCCCTTTTTCCTTACAAGCCAACAGTGACACAAGCTGAGACCCCAAGTCTTGAGTGCCTAGGTGTTCCTATGAGCCTCCATTTGTCTGAACATTATGATTGTATAGTAG